GGACCCGTATGGATCCAGGAGCATGCAGCACGGACCCGTATGGAGAGAGACCAGTGCAGACCCGTATATGGGAGAGACCAGTGCAGACCCGTCTAGATCCATGGGAGAGACCAGTGCAGACCAGTATAGATCCATGGGAGAGACCAGTGCAGACCCGTATATGGGAGAGACCAGTGCAGACCCGTATAGATCCATGGGAGAGACCAGTGCAGACCCGTATAGATCCATAGGAGAGACCAGCGCAGAGACTCAGCGCGGACCCCGCAGCCTCCTGCAGCAGCAGTATATATGCCGTTGTTCTGTGGCCCGTGGATAAAGAAATGCCCCCTATAAATAGGAAGGGGTCACTAATACACGGCAAGATTTCCAATGTATTTGATAAAGCGTTGGCACATTTAATTTCAAAATGAATTAAAAAGTAGGCCAGATCTGCAGGGAAAAAGGCGGTATATAAATAAAGATTACTAATAAAGATTACTACAAATAAATAAATACATACATCGATATGACGGACATATCACTGGAATGTTGTATTTTTATTCAACTTCACCAAAGAGGACAACCCCGGCGTGTGAACATGTCGGCACTGAATGCGTACGAGTGCTCCTGAGGACTCGTAGGATTTGTACTTGCCCAAGACAAATTCTGGTTACGAGAAATATTCGTGAATGCCACTTTCTTCGTAAAAACCGCGTAAGTAGGATTTACGTACAAATCTGTTCCTAAGAACCGTTCGTGAATGAGGCCCATTCTTTTCTCTGTATTTTCTTTCTTTAGAACACAGTATATTTATGTCATAGATTGATATTTTGGCACACTATTGTGATTTTGGTGTTTGTTTTATGTGAGGATTTTTTGCCTGGTGTGGACTGTGAAGTGAACTTTACAAATAAAGATTGATCGTTTGATTATAATGTATGTAACCCCTTGTCTATAATCACTACCCCATCTTAAAAAAACCATACATTTCCTCAACAGTGTCAGAAAGTTGTGGCATTATTTAACACAGAGGACAGTCTATTACAGTGCTATATAAAGCTGGCCTTGTCCTCATCTAGTTAAAACTGGAACATCCATGAGAGGTGCGAGACAGTCTTCTCTGAGGCTGACCTTAAACACGGTGTAACTGCAGCTTGGCCTGGAGCCAGCAGCCCACCACTGTACACTATACAGATGAGCCTAATGATGCAGACTAAAGTGGATCTTTCATTAATCTTCAGGGTCCTGGTCTGATATACAGGGCCCTCCATGTGTGACAGCTGCTTTGTCCTGGGCAGGTCCCCGCTTAGACATAACTGAGGGCCTTTCCTCAGCTAATCAAATCCATCTCCTGGGTATTGACACGACGTTGGTTAAAAGTAACTTACAGCTGTAGTCAGTGATCGATGTTCCCCGGTGTCCGCTGGCCATATCTGGACGCACAGCTGCAAATACAGTCAAGTTAATGCAGCATCAATAAAGACTGTAGAGTAACAACCTCAGTCTGTGACTACATCTAAATTACATTATTAATGAATTGGATGGATCCCAGTACTTCAATTACAACCAAATAAGTCGAACACTACACATAAACAAGTTGACTTATGCCAAATACTGTTCATTTGTCATATGTCGCTCAGACTATATGCATTATAACCATAGATTGTAAATATTAACAGACGTAGTCACGCCTATCTCCGCCGTTCAAACAAATAGGCCAAAAATTGTGCTGTACTGGAGCTATCCAAAATGGCCGCGAGTGGTCCCTCCCATGAAATGGTGAAAAAACGCATATGCGCATTCGTCAGCCGGCAAGAGCTCCATTCATTTAACAAGTGCCTTCAAAAATTCACAGCAACTAAACTAGAGAGGTCCAAAAAATGTTACTCCCCTCAGCATTGACACACATGTGGAACAGAGCTTTGGGCCAAGAGCCAACTTTTGGACCATCCTGTAAAGACGTTTTCCAGAGGTCTGCCAATGCTATACGTTAGCATTGGCTAATTCTTATTCCGGGTCCACCCCCATCGGCCCGGGGTGGTTTTGCAGCATGTCAGCGCACATGATTTTGGCCACTTTTGAGCCGGGACCCGCCCCCACTGATAATAACGGCAAACCTTTAGAAGTAATCAATATGACTCTTCCCACTTGCATGTACATGCTGTTACAACCATGAGAATTATCTTTAAGTAAGCATGTGTTCAGGGAGAGAATGAAAAAGGAGCAATAACATGTTTAATTCACATACAATTTGCCTGTTTCTGTGACTTAAACTAAAATATTGTGTTAGTGCTTTGCTTCTCGAAAGTATTATAATACACCTTAAACTTTTGCACATTTTGTCATGTTTACAACCATAAACATAAAGATTGTATTTTGAATTTTTTACCAAAAGTTCACACACAATTAACAGACACATTTGAATATTTTTTTGTTATTTAGTAAAGTTTATTGGTGGAAGACAATTCATACAGCATTTTCTGAGTGCATTAAATTCCTAATGACTGCTGAGTGTTCACACCTTGCCCTAACAATTAAAAAGCGGCCACATGTGTATAATCCACAGTATTAATACAGCCGTTCTGTGAGGCTTCAGAGCTAAGGCCGCAGTGTATTGGTCACTAAACAGCATCATGAAGGCCAAGGAGCACACCAAAGAGGTCAAGGATAATGTTGTGGAGAAGCATCGTTGAGTCATACAAACATTTACAAAGCTTTGAACACAGAGCACTGTTAAATCCTTTGGCACAACTCCAAATCGTCTGCCCAAACTCATAGCTCCAAGAAAGATAACACAAGGCCAATGGTTACTCTCGGGAGCAGAAAACACCCAGAGCTCACCTGGGGGAATCTGTGCATGGGGCAAATATTAGTCATACACTACACAAATCCTTTCCTTTCCTAATAAAAGCTGCAAGTTTTGATGTCTAAGAATTTGTAAATGTCCTCATACACCTACACACTAATACACACAACTTACACACAATTCATTTACATGGTTTCTTTCTACTGAATATGTATAAATAATAAATTAAGCTCTCAGTGCACCATCCCCAGTCAAATATGGGGGTGGCAGCATCATGTTATTTCTTCGGGACAGGGAAGTTGATGGGAAAGTGGATGGAGTATTATATTTAAAGCCTAGTAAGTACTGTAGTTACAAAAAAAAAACAAAAAATAGCTTCTAAAATTGTTTTTAATACAACAGACAACATCATCATGTGGCATTTTGCTTTAACTTTAAAGTTGTAAAATATCACACATGAAATATTTCTGCTTGTGGTTGTAAAATGACACCATGTGGAGAAGTTTTAGTTGTATAAATACTTTTGCAAGGCACTGTATATTGTATAAAGTTGTTTTGGGACATCCCATTATCAAATAATAATAGTATGTGTACTACTAAAAATAAAGATTGTGTTATTTCTGCATTTGATTTTTGTCCAGGACAGAGATCAATGTCTGTTGCACCTTTGTCTGGTCTTTACTTTGGCTACAGTACAGGCACGGACTGAAGGTTGCATGAGGCCAAGTAATCACAGGTTAGTGACAGATCCATGGACACATAGAACTACATAATGGGCAGCATTGTGTGGTGTGAATTCTATGAAAACAGATTTGACAAGGCTTCATTTGTATGAAATTGCTGGCGGCTGCCCCTGTTATAGTTGACCTCTTTTATTTTATAATTTCTTTTGATTGTTTTAATTATACATTTTAAATGTTTAAATTCTCCTTGTAATTAAAATTTTGACCAATTAAATATTTTGTTTATTTTCCAGAAATTGTATTTGAAAATTTTCAAATTGACAAATAGAGGGCAGCTTGTGGGGGGACGGGGGTCCTGGATAAACTGACATCAATGCTGGACCACAAGTGTCGCCCCCTCCAAGACTTATCTGCCCCAGAGAGCAGCTTCAGTGACAAACTTATCCATCCTCAGTGTGAAAGAGAGGATCTTCTGGTCTTCCCTTCCCACTGCTGACTTCAGTAAAAGATCATCACCTTCAGGCTGTACAAGTATCAGTCACGATAATGATGTGGCATACTGCGTGCTAATATGGTTCAATGTGTGCACTCACATCTCAGTCACTTTATCTGCTATGTTTTTATTCTGTCTATATGTTGCTTTGTGTATTAAAATAGTAATCGTTTCCATTTTAAGCATAATCTGCAACCCATACTACTAATTCCACCTACGATGTGGTTATTTGTCGGTAAAAATACAATTAGTGCCTCTAATTCATCATTGCAACAGGCAAAATAATAAGACATTTTCATTTATATAATACATCGTTAAATGTTTTAGTGCTAGAGAGGTATAATGGCTTTGTACAAAATATCCTCAAAATTCTGAACTCTGCATGAACCTTTGTGCAAGCTGGTGATCCTTATGTCAATCAAATGTAACCAAAAAACATTTTAACTACTCAATCCTTGTATTTGCTATGGGCGAACTCTGAATCACCTCTCCCGCCCTGCATTTTGTTCTGGTTATACAACATCTTTTCTTGCATGTTTGAGTTTCCTGTACAACAGATGCAATGCTATTGTTAATATCTTCCTCTATGTGCTTGTCTCTCTAATCACTGTTTACTTGTCCCAGCCTGACCCTGGGTTGAGATTTTGCTGAGTGAGTTTACTTGTGGCCATAACTTACCATTGCAGACAGATAGTATGCTCAGAAAGCCGCAGTGTCCTGTAATGAATATAGATAGTGGACTGCAGGGTATGTCTTTTTCTTAACGGCGCTTGAGCTGGGAGTACATGAGGTTGTTTGTTATAATGCAGTCTCTCAATGTCATTCAGGGTTTTGTCTCTCTGCGGTTGGCCGCCGGTGCTCGTTTCAACTTTATATGTACAGGAATGTTTCCCATCAGGTCTTCTCAATGCACTTTTCCAGCTTGTTTAAAAACTGTGCTAATTTACAAGCTATGATGAGATAAGGGTGTGATTAAAAAGTATAGTCACTTGCTTTTGCCTGCGGAGAAATGACTGCTTATCGTAAAGCACTGCTATAATCAACCCTGGATGCGGAAAGGGACAGCTTTGTGGAGTCTCAAGGTAAAGTGAACATTCTTGAGACACAGACACAGGGGTTGAAGCATTAGGTTTTCTCTCTGACAAGTGATCTGGAGAAGGACAGGACAACTCTTGTGGAGAGTATAGTGCAGAGGCTGGAGAAGGAGACACTGGAACTGAAGAAAGAAGTCCCCACTCTGACATCTGCCCTGTGGAGAGGAACAATGTCTCAGAAGCTCACAGTGAAGTGGACCTGCCGCGGACGGAGACATGAAGCTGAAGTAAGAGGAGAGGAGCACCACTACAGAGACTCTGAATAACAAGGAACTGTTGGAGAAGGAGAAGTTCCAGCTTCTGTCTGCAGTGAGAGACCTCAGCTCCAGAGAGACGGAGCATGAGAAGACCATTCAGGAGGAGCAGTTGTGAACTCAAAACAAAAAAGTGGCTCCAACAGAGAGTCTGGCAGATAAGTTGCAGTCTGAGGAGCGGAGGTGGGTACTCCCTTGAACAGAAGAAAAGGATCGTTCTATAACTCTAACCTCATCACAGGAAAACAGCTCCACACTGAGGCAGGAGAAAAACCTTCTGCAAGAAACGATGGCCATGGTCGAGCAGCAGCGACTCATTTGGGCTTTAGCCATTAAATCATCATAAGATGGCTCGTTTCTTGATATTTGTACCCATCATTACCCCACCAAGGTAGACTTCACCCATGTAGGCATGTGGACCTGCTGAGGGAAGCACCTTTTTATCTCATATGATTGGATATGATCACAGACTTTTTCGACTGGTGTGAGCGCAACCACTTGGTGCTTGAACACCAGTAAGACCAAGGAGATGGTAATCAACTTCAGGACGCTGCTGAACATCCAGGGGGAGGACATTGAGCTGGTGGACAGCTTCAAGTACCTGGGTGTTCACAATAACAATAAACTGGACTGGTTCCATAACTCCAATGCCCTGTACAAGAAGGGCCAAAGTCGCCTCTTCCTTCTGAGGAGGCTGAGGTCCTACGGAGTGAGCAGGCCTCTGCTCAGGACTCTGTGGTATCGTCTGCCATATACTACGCTGCCGTGTGCTGGGCCCCGGGCAGCACAGCGCGGGACAGGAGTAGACTGAACAAGCTGGTCAGGAGGGCCAGCTCCGCTCTCACTGCTCCCTGGACTCTGTGGAGGAGGTGAGGGACAGGAGGGTGCTAGTCAAAGTCACCTCCATCATGGACAACACCTCCCACCCACTGCACAGGACTGTAGAGGAGCTGAGGAGCTCCTTCAGTGGAAGACTGAGACACCCTCAGTGCAAGAAGGAGCGCTACCGCAGGGCCTTTATCCCCACCGCTGTCAGACTGTACAATAAGTCACTTTCATTAGGACTGAAAAACCTGCACTACTATTGACACTGTTTCTTCTTTTTATTGTACATAATATATCCTGCATTTAACATGTTTGTACATTTCTTCTTTTGCACAACCCTGAGTGTTTCTATCCATGCCAGATGTGACATGTACATTTCTCCTGTGTGAGATCAGTAAAGTTTATCTTATCTTATCTTATCTAGCAGTCAGTCTAGCCTGACTCCAAAAAGCCATTTCTAGAGCAACAATACACATGCACTGGTTTGTGAGGTTGAGTGCATCATGTGATGAATCATATAGGAATCCATAATGTCATATGATTTTATAGTGACATTATTTGGTCAAAATAAGATCAAATATATGGTACTGTGTTGAAACATAGAAATATTTCCCCACAGTTCCACAAATACAAGTTTTGAAACTTTTCCACGGATAGTCACCCCTGTGTCACATCTGCATGTTTTAATTTACCAATGCAGATTTGTCTTGAGCTGAATGAGGGTCTTGCAGGTGTCTATTGAGATCTTGAGGTCGAATGCACAATGTCATTTTAGTTATTGAATTGCGTGACATAATTTGGGTTTGAAGATTCGCAGATTTCAGGCAGCCCTAAGTACACTGCTGCTTCAATTCAGTTTTCAGAGTTTGCAAAAGGCGCCCCATCACCTGCAGCTCTGAGTGCATACAGCAACAAAACTAGCTCCTCATTCAAAGACTTGGTTATAAAAGAGCCACATTTCAGTTCCAATGGTAAATACACCTGTTTGTTTCCATTATCAAGTCTGCTTAATAGATTTTTGAAACCGGCCTAATACAGTATAACAGCAGCCTTTCAATGTAGTATCAAAGGATATGAAAAATGAATACAGTCACAGGCTTTTAAAATGTAGTCATTATGAAGGCTGCACTGAACTTCTTTAGTACAAACTTTTTCATAGTCAATTTGATGTGTTCTTATTAAGGAATGTATGAATAATAATATTTGTTTGTGTAATTAAGCATCATGAACAAACTAATTTGTTCAGCTGGAACTGATACAGAATGTAAACAGCCTTAATGCTTACTAAATAATAATTCTCAATACTAAAAACATGTACAGTACAATGTGGGTCTGAATGTAATGAGTGAGTGAATAGTGTTGGTCGAAGGCTTTGATGCTCCAGTGTTTTGGGCGTCTCGCTTCTATCATCACCGTGTGGAGAGAATGGAAAAATATCTGAACTCAGAACATTGGAAAGTGCTTTGGGCAATTCACTCCTCTGCTTTTGACCCATCCTGATGCCGCGAAGGCTTACGTCTCTCCGTAGTACAGCGCCGGGAACCCATCTCCAGATGTTGATGCTCGGCTTGGTCAGGACTACCGGAGCTGGAAGATTTAGGCTAGTGAGCATGTTTTTAGTGGTAGGGGAAATCCGAGTACCCGGAGTAAACGGAGTAAACCTACGCAGGCACGTGGAGAACATGCAAACTCCACTCAGAAAGACCCTGTTCCAACTGGGATTCGAACCCAAGATCTTCTTACTGAGAGGCAATCCACTCAGCCGCCCAATACGTTTGACATTACAGTCTATAATATGGACATTTCGACTCATGGTCAGATCTTAAAATGACTTGCTTCTGAACAAATGACATCACGCTCACAGTATATTAGTCAAATCATATTTTTACTTTTAAATATTATTCATAAAAGGTTATTCACAAAAAAGTGTTTCTTTCCAAACGATTGCCACCCTTTGAGCCTCCACTGTGAAAGAGGTCTCTGCGCATGACATTGTTTTGCTGCAGTTCAAACATGTCCGTACACAGATAAAACTTCCTGTATGTCCCCAGATGACCGGATGGCTGTCCACCTGCAGTCTGTCCCCGGCTGACCCGTCCCATAACCACATTACAAACACAGTAGTGGCTGTTGTGTGTCCTCAGCTGACCTCGTAGACTGGCCGGGGTCGTTGCGGTCGGGACAAACTAACTCTAAGCGCCTGTGTGGGACTTGTTTATTGACTTTTCACTTATGTCAATACAGTATAATAGAGCAAAAGAGCAATGGATGTGAAATTAATGCATCGCTTGTAACGATCCAAACAGGGCAAGTTAAGAAAAGGTCCAAAAGTTAGATTTAGTCTGTGTAAGAAGGGCTGCTATGAGATGGAAGGAACTAAATGTAAAAATAGTATTTATACATTAGACAGAAGGCAAACCAAACTATACTGAAGCTTTGGTAAAGTCCATTCAACAACTAGTTCTCTCTGGGATGTTTTTTCTGTTGTGCAGCTCTGTGGCTATTATAACTATTTGCAAATGTCTCCACTAGAGTACAGCAGAGAAGCATCAAGGACCCCTGGCCCTGACCTTATCACGAACTTCAGAGCGTTTTAAAAGTATTTGCTGATTGCAAAATGGCCTGAGTTTGGAGTATTTACATATAGACCTAGACATGGTAATTTCACCCACAAAAGGGTCAGTGAATGGACAAATGATTTGATTGCTTGAGTCCAGCCAAATTATAGCTTGAGGTATCTATCAATTTATTCTAACCTTAGTGCAAAAAAGTTTTCTTTTTGGAAAAAAATAACAATTGGAAGTAAGTAGAGAGACCAATTGCAGTAAATCAGCAATCCCCAACCCCATCCCCAGTACCAAGGAACGGCTTAATGTCCGTCATTATTTCCCCAAAATAATTTGTTTTGCAAAATGCTATATGATACCAGTAAAAGTAGTTTTTTGTATCTATTACATATAATATTTAATCATTGTAAAATATATATATATATATATCCATGAATTTCTCATTGCCTTTCTATGAGCTGGCCTCAGCGGTCCTCGCTCTTCCAGTCACTGTGTTTTTTACGCTCTTGTCTGCACTCTTCTCGTCTTCTTGTCTCTCATTAGAGCTGCGCACAGAAGCCTCATACTTTTCCCCATGCGCCTTTTCTCTTTGCACCGCCACACTGCTCTCTTTATCCCTACTTTTTACATTTCTCCTATGTGTTATCACACCATAGTCAAAATAATCAGAGTCCTTGTAGAGTCCTGCACGTAGGCCATATTGCTATCTAATACTAACAGTGTTTTTTATTATTGCATTCCCTGTGTTTGAAATGTTTGTACCTCTGATCTGTTGTTGAGAAATTGAAAATGTTTTAAAGTTTCTGTTGTGTTTTAGGACTATACAAAATAAATTAAATTTAATTTAGTGTTGTTTCCTTGTGCCCCGGTACCGGACTAATGGTTGTGGACTACTACAGTACACGGTTTAGAATTAATTTTATTTTGAGCATTAGCTATATGATCAACATTTACTGCAATGATATTTTACAGCCGAGTGTGAAGCCGCTGGGATGAGAATCAGCACCTCCAAATCCGAGGCCATGGTGCTCGACCGGAAAAAGGTGCCTTGCCCTCTTCAGGTGGGTGGAGAGGTCCTTCCTCAATTGGAGGAGTTCAAGTATCTCGGGGTCTTGTTCACGAGTGAGGGAAGGATGGAGCGTGAGATTGACAGGCGGATCGGTGCAGCGGTGATGCGGTCGCTGTATTGGACCGATGTAAAGAGGGAGCTGAGCCGAAAGGCAAAGCTCTTGATTTACCGGTCAATCTTCGTTCCCTCCCTCACCTATGGTCATGAGCTTTGGGTAGTGACCGAAAGAACGAGATCGCGGATACAAGCGGTCGAAATGAGCTTCCTACGCAGAGTGTCTGGGCGCTCCCTTAAGGGGCGTTCACACCGGACTTAACTTCGGCGTCAAAAGCGTCAGGTTTGCATTGAAAGTGAATGGTGAAGCGCGTCAGGTGAAGCCGAGAGCCCCGGCGTCACTTGACGCGCGTCAAAAGCTTCAAGAGTCGCGCGTACTACGCGCTCACTTGAAGCTTTTGACGCGCGAAACGCTCGCGTATCACAACAATCCCTTTGACGCCGAAGTTGAGCAAAGCTGAGCTTTTGAAGCTTTGACGCGGGCTTCAACCAATCAGGAGACGAGGAGCAGCAGCAGCAGAGGGTCTGTCTCTGTCATGAAGAGAAGTCATGCTGCTGCTGCTGCTGTTTTATTGTCATTATTG